ATGGCAATAAACAACTTTACAACTTTACAACTATAGGCATCATAACAAATTTACAACAATAAGCATCTTTACAACAATAAGAAACTTACAACAATACAACAATAGACATCTTACAACAATAGGTAACTTACAACAATACAACTATAGACATCTTACAACAATAGACAACTTACAACAATACAACTATAGACATCTTATAACAATAGACAACTTACAACAATACAATTATAGACATCTTACAACGATTGACAATTTACAACATTAAAACATTAGGCATCTTACAACGATAGACAACTTTCAACTTTACAACATTAGCCATCTTACAACGATAGACAACTTTATACTACTTAATTAAACAACTACAGTCAACACAATATCAACTTTACAACAATGAACTACTTTAACTTATACATCTCAACTTATTAATAATTCAACAATAAACAACATAAAAACCACTTAGTTTCACCAAATACACAACATATAAACAATGTAAGTCAACAACTACTCAACTCATCTTCATCAGGCAACTTAGCAACTTAACCACGTTATAAACAACTTCTGAAACACAAGAACAACTACATGCAACCACTAATTTAAATCAATCATCTCTTTTCTTTCAAACAACAAAACCCAACTTTTTAACTCAATCCGCACCCAACAACTTGACCATTTTCAAGGAAAATAATGCATGAAACTTCCCTAACCTGAAGATTGACTCAGCATTGCCAAGAGTTGAGAAGAAGTGGAATTTCCTTCCGAAGCTCAACCCAGGAACCTCCATCTTCCAAAAGCAAGCTTCCTGGCCCAGAGTCTTTCTCTCTAAAACTGCTCTCTAAGTTCTCCTTTTCTCCCCCTCCTCAACACCTATTTATAGAGGTAAGAGTGACCAGAACGACCCTTTTCGAGTCTGGAACGGCCCGTTCTGGGCTCCTTCGTCATGTGTAAAATTTACATGCAGAACGACCCGTTCTGAAACCAGAACGGCCCATTCTAGCACGTCTAGAACGGCCCGTTCTTAAACTAGAACGGCCCGTTCTGGAGTTGAATTTAACTCACAACAACTATATTTGGAACGGCACGTTCTCAACTAGGATTTACAGGCCTATTTAGTAGTTTGGAACGGCCCGTTCTAGTTTGGGAACGGCCCGTTCTAGGCTTCTAAATCGCCCTTGTTTTAGTCTTTTGGAACGACTTATTCCAATTTTGGAACGCTCCGTTCCAATCTACCAACTGCGTTACAAAAATTATATAAAGTTTAGGTAAAATATAAAAAAATAAATTAAATATTTATAAATTTTAAGCGGATACAGATATGTATATATCCATCCTCATTCCTGTACTCAATTTAATAAATCAGGTATTACATGTACCCGTGTCGCGATCAAATCAAGTATTCGTCGTCAAAGTCGGAATAAATTCAAATATTACTCACGAATTCATATTTACTTGTCATCCGTCTATCTATCTATATATATTCGGTAAAGATTATTCTTGACAAACTGCAAAATAATTTAAGTTTTATATTGACTTGTTATTGATACTATCTATAATTAATCTGTATACAACTTGATGATGCAATGAGGCTTTCCAAGTAATTATTTTTGAAAAATTATCAGCTTATGATCAATTGAGCCTTCGAAAAGCTACTACCATCATAGATACTTAAATTTACACGAGCTCGTCTATAAATTTTCATCCGATAATAAATACGTATGTATTGCCCTAATTTTTCGTATATAAACTTTGGATTTGAAATCTATGTACAAATTTATATCGAGTTTCAATATGTTTATAATTCTCGATAATATTATATAATTTAAAAAAAAAATAGTCCTTTTTTTACATTTTAATTTTTAGTCCTTAAAAAATAGTAAACACAGTGTATTTTTAATCTGTCTTTAATAAGGGACACAAATGCATTATATTTATTTACCGTGGAGCTATAAAATGAATAATATTGATATAAGAGACGTTATATTTTCAGAGATAGAAAACATATTTAAGCACAGACAAATTCACACATAAAACACATTATGAAGTTTATATGTCAATTTCTTTTCATATTTTAATTTTACAAAAGCAAAATATAAATACATTTTCATTGTCATTCCAACAACTCATTATTATCAAGACATATTTCTATGTTGCCACAGTTCAGCATTCGTACATTGCCTTATTAGTTTTCCTAGCCAATATCTATTTATTTAAATATGTTTGGTTGTTATTGTAAAAAAAAAAAAATTGACTTTCACGTTTCAATAATTGACTATATATATCACCCTTTGATAACGATTATTTAGAGCTCTAGTAACCTGATTTCTTTGAATTACATCATGATAACCGTGCATCTATTTTGTTATCCTACTCTTTGAATAAAATAATTTATTATTGATGTTTGTAAAATTGGGACCAGTTAGCCACTGAAAGTTGAAAATTTGATTATCACTCGTGGATAATGTGATTATTAATGTTTGTAAAAGTTACCCAGAATTTCAACATTTCTAGAACTCGATGTTAACCAATCACCACCTCAAGTTAATCGATCACAACTTTTTAATAATTGTATTAATCGATTTTAAGCCAGTAATTAATAACCACACCTCTGGAAGTGAGGTTAATCATTAGTCGTTGCTTTTTATACTAGTGTAAAGTTTTAAGGGAATGTTTGGTAGTTAAGTTTTGAAGGAAAAGAGAGAAAGGAGAGACAAATTTTTATTTCTAATCAATATTCTCTAATTTGATATTTTTTAACATAAAATAATTAAGATTTAATACATCATATGATTCCTAAACATTTTTAAAAAATTTAATAGATTCTTAAACTAAAAGTATTTGTAATTAGGTTCATCTTTTTATATTTTTATAATTTAGCTTCTGTAATTAGAAATTCATTTATATATAGATGATAACACAAAATAATAATCAAATCAAATATGACCTATATAATATCATTCAACAAACTAGAAATTAGAGCCAGCTACACTGACAATAATCTATTAGGCAGGCACCAAGAACATTTAGCCTCTAATTTTCTACAACTAAACCATCCACTCCCTTGTTTCCCAAGATTCTGGAAGTGTTTAATTTTGCATTAGTGAAAGAGTTACAATATTCAATTGTGAATAAAAGCCTATTTGGATACAAGTTAAAAGAGTTTTTTGAAAATTTTTCTACCGAAAATAAGAAGTATTTTTTTTTTTTTTGATAAAAAAACACTCAAATATTTTTAAATTTACATTCAAACATATTTTAAGTCATGTTTCACTCATGTCCGCCGAAATTAAAATTACAAACTGTTTAATAAAAGCCCACAACACTGACATATATAGCCCATAACATCATAGATTTTCCCTTGGATGCATTCCCCAGTTTTTATACCAAGACTTGAAGGACTTCACACCTTCCCCAACCATTTACAAGCCCAAGTGACAATGGTGGAAACATTGAGGCTTTTGAATCTTGTATATCAAAAACCAACAGAAGCTTCCATGTCCATATGAGAATTGAGCAAAGGCATTGCTCCAAGTATAGCTAAATCTACATTACAATGGTTATGATAGAGACCTCTCCCCAATGGTAGAAACTGGAATCGAGACCCCAGAGTTATAGATATTGAGATTAAAAATTACGAAATTTTATATTCACAGCCTAACAGGAATGACTTAAAACAGAATTTGCCTCCCT